ATATTATCTATGACCCTGTTTTAACTATAATATTAGAAGGAAAATTCTGTGTATGCATGACTCACTTTAAAAGTTCTAATCAATTCTTAGGAATTTCAGGAAGTGATGTGTTGTATGTCCTAGAGATAGCCAGATGAAAATCTTTTTATCACCATTGTTTTCAATAAAAGAAGAAACTGACAGTGTTTTGAAGCATATGTTGCTTGGATAATCAAGGAAATTTTCCTTAGCAACAATTATTATATGAATCCCTTATGGCTTTCTCTGCCGATTATCTGTTTTATTAGTAGATTCATATAACTATCCATTAGAGAACACTTAAAAACATAGTGAAACATTTCAGTAATAAAAAAATATATACATATGTATATATACATATATACAAACATTTCTGGGAATGTTCATTGTCTTGTTCAGATGTAAATGTTTAACAGCATGTTCTATATCTCAGAATATGAGACTGTTGTTATAATGAGAATTATTTTCACTTAATATAGTCTCACCACAAACATTATGAGAGTTAAGAGAGTTAATGGACTATATCCACAAATGATTCATAATTGATGTCAATAGTCTAATATTCAGGATCAAGAATCATAGATTTCAGTAATAGAAAAGACCTCAAGGGCCTTCTTGCTAATCTACCAGTTCACACATGAGGCAGTTGAACTAGAACTAAATTAAGTGTATTACTCAAAGTCACTGTACTGTGAATATATTCATACACACAGACAGCTATGTCCAACCACATAAACACTTCCATCTCTCCAATGGAAAGAGGGACCCATGTCAAAGGATAGGTTAAAAACAAATATTTCCATAATAAAATCTTCTGATATCCTTAGGATCTAACATCTTTGGACGAGACACATGATAACACTTCAATTTGTATAACAAATAGTATGTTCAGAAACACCTAAATTGTTATTACTCTGTATATTTCTAGATGAGTAATCTACTTCTAAGACATAAATATTACAAGAATAATTGTAGCCGAGCAAGGGCAAGAGTTGCCCTCTTCATATAAAGGCTTACTTCCATGAAATGTGCTATCTATTACTTGTGAGTAAAGATAGAATGGCTCAGATCAATTTCATTAAGAAAATAGATACAGAACTCTATATTCTACTTTTATGCTCCCTCAGAGACTGTAGGAGTTAGATTTTACCAAAGAAATATAGTAGACATGTTTTACAATGCTGATCTCAGAGGCCAGGGCCAATACCCTTACAACAGGATAAATGCATTACTGAGATTTTACAGCAAGGAGTTATGTTTTAAGAGAGCACAATTTGACCTGTGGTATATCTAAATCTAACCCATGATATAACAAGCTTCTATTATATTCCTCTCGAGGTGTTTTAAAGACTAATGAGTTAACCTTTGCGAAGTGTCATGAGACTATCAGGGTAAAGAAGTCTATGTCAAGTATCAATTTAAGGCTGCAAACAATACTGTAGGAAGAAAACAAGACTAAAAGTGATCAGCACATGATTTGCTCCATTTCCCTTGATATCACAGCAGCATGGTTAACATGCGAACAGCTAAGCAGCTTCATGTACTTGAGGAGGAAGATGATCAATGGCAAAGAGCATATCCACCTTTGAAATGACAACATCCATTATGAGAATCAGATGCTAAATTGCTTCCAGGATGGAGAACACTCAATTAAAATTCTGCACAGTGAGATCATCTCCATGGTTAAATATGCTCTTTGGGAACAACCCTTATAGAGCTTAAAAATCACAGAAGGACTATTCCTACCTTGGCACTAGAGATTTGGAAAGCATTTCCTTTTCCCATTTTTTCAATTTGGTAGTTTGATTAGGGAGTTTTTGCCTTTGAGGTTATTGAATTTAGGATCATATCTATCTACCCTTGTACTTGTCTGAAAAAGAGATGTTTCTAGTGAGGATTTTTTATTTGGTCTGAACTGAATGAATTCGTGAGTTTAGTTCAGGTTTTCTGGACAAAAACAGTTCCATTCACACAGTTTGTGTTTAATGTTCTTCACCTGCTTTTCAGTATGCTAACTCATTCACTTGAGCTCTGTCTCTTTGCCTAACTCTGTCTTATTTGGGTATGTATGGTGGTATGGGGATGAAAATAAAACATCATATATTAGCAGCTCTGATTTCTACTCATAGGTTTGAAATTTTCCAGAACTATGACCTTGGGGCAGTTACTTAATGTTTCTGTTGATCAGTTTCCTCATGATGAAAAAAATCCTAGGTCTTTTCTTATTAATTATTTGCCATCTGCCTCACCATTCCAGACAGCAATGCAGGAATCCTTATTCACTTCATGGCATATCCTGAGACCACAGCAAATAACACAGAGTAGATTGGCAATGAAAATTATTTAATTGTTGAAAACTCACCTCATTTGGTTGTGTTACTATTTATGTAGCATGCCAATAATGTGCAAATCATCATTAGTAAAGTCCAAGTCCCCACTTAAACTCATATAGATTTAAAGTCCTATTATTTTGAGACAGAATCTCACACTACAGTTCTAGATGGTTTTGAATTCTCTAAATAGCCCAGACTGCTCATGGTTTCATTCTAAACTTCTTTTCTCTCTGTGGGTTATAACATGAGATAAAACATGTGGTTAGTTACCAAGTCCTAATTCACAACCTATATAACCTATGCTCTTGTTTAATCTGATTTTAAATTCCTTCAAATGCAAATGTGGTCATGACACTACCCTCCTTGAACATCTTTGTGGTGGTCAATCCTCATCATCAACCTGATTAGATTTATATGGAATCATACCTGTGGGCAGATCTATGATTGTGTTTCTAGAAAGCTTTAACTGAAAAGGGAGGACAGACCCTGAATGTGGGGAGAGGGGGTGTGGCATAATGTTATTACTGGGTAGAATCCTATGCTAAATAAAAGGTGAGTTGTATTTCAGCATCCCTCTTTCTCCTGACTGCTGACCCATCTCATACCAACTCTTCTGTGCCAGGATCGACTGCAACCTCAAGATGTGTGCTGAAAAATTTCTTTCTTTCCTTAAGTCCCTTTTGTTAAAGACATTTCCTCCTATGTAATTTTCTTCTTTACCCATGAAACATGGCATTGCATTTTAGGGAATGCAGGCATTATGATACCTACAACAAATGTGTCCCCACAGTCTTCAGTACTTAAAACTTGTCCATAGCTGATGGCTCTATGAGAAAATTTGGGAGATATAGTCTGGCTGGAGGAAGTATGTCACTGGCAGAATATTTTAAGACTGAAAACACCCACCTACTTCCTGTCGTCACTCTGTAGTTTGCTTGTGATTAAAGCTACGAGCTTTCAGCTTTGTGTTCCTGCTGCTATGCCTACAGCTTGTTATGTAGCTCTGCTCTCTTGCCAGACTCTCATCCCAATTGAACCATAAGCCAAAATAAACTGTCTCTTTTTTCAATTGCATTTGGTCATAGTGCTTTATCACAGCAACAAGAAAGTTAGTAATATTGCAGGTAAAGCTAGAAGGATAAACTGTATATTGAATATTTAATATTGATTCATTTGAAAGAGAAAGAAATTCTGCCACTGATATTAGTGGTATATTAGGAGGAAGTTTATTTAATTGTGCATAATCAGGAAGAGCATGAGTGGGATACATGAAGTCTGAGGGAACAAATATTTTATACAGAATTTGTCATTTCTTGTTGACGTCTTTGCCCTTGTGGGGTTTAAATCCAAAACTACATCTCCTATTCTAGAAGTCAAGTATTCAACTTCTTATTAAAGATCCTATCATGGAAAAGACACACTGGTGTTCTATAGAGTTGTGATTTGATCACCATTTTCTATATTCTTACTAGACCATCGTGTGCACTCTTTTGGTCTGCTGAACTATGCAGCAAGCATTCTTGTTAAATGAATAGAGTTAACCAATGACAACCCTTGGAAAGCTTCTGCCTTTGAATTTTGTGAAGGATATAACATGGTATATGGTGAGCAGAAAATTTCAGTGCACTGTGGGATTTTGTTACTAGTAAGTTAGCCTATGAACTGCTCATTTAACAAGAATATAATCTGAAGACACAAAATATAAAGAATGACATATTCTTTTCAATGCTTTCAATTCAGTAAAAACAAGGCATGTGTACACCTAAATTACAATGGTTTCTATGCTCTCTAGCAATGAATTTCATAATATTCATATTGATATAGTCAGAAAAGGTCCAACAAAATGAATAAAGTTGTAGTTGGTCTTGGTGGGTAGGTTGGATTTTTCAAGGTTGATAGTTAATAGCAGTTTGTGATAAACAAAAGACATGGAAAAGTGATGGGAGATGCCATTATGTATATATGTTTCTTATACTGGTTAATGAATAAGCACTGTTGGCCAATAGGAAAGAAAGATAGGAGGGACTAGGAGACAAGGAGGAAAGAGGAGGTGGTAAGGAGGAGTCAAGATGGAGAGTCTGGAGAGAACAGAACTGCCATTCCTCCGCTCTCGGTAAGACCACGTGGAAATACATAGAAATGGGTTAATACTTAAGACAGAGCTAGCCGATAAGAAACAAGTAACTGGCCAACAGCATAATATCTAATACAGAGTCTCTGTGCATTAATTAGGGCTGGCGCGGCGGCGGGACAAGACCAGCAGCGAGCGGAAAACCCTTACTCCTTACAGAAAAATGTGGACATTCAGTGCACTTATTAGAAGTAGATCTTACAGCTTGTACAAGCAGAGTGAGTGATTTACTCATTAAGCAGAAATAGATGGTTGGCAGTTTTAACGATTTGTGGTAATCCTCTGATAAGGAGCTTATCTGTAGTCAGGAGAAAACTATGAAGATGTTAGGGTAAGGAATGGAGAAAAGAATAAAGTAAAATAATAATATGGCAATAATATATTAAATTGGGTAAAGTATTATGGTTGTTATGTCTGTATGTAATGTCATATACTCTAGATCTTAAAATGTAGTGACTTAAGGAAAAGATCAGTTAGACTTTGAAATTGAGGAAGGGAGAGAGATAACTTTAATATACCTGTTGAGCAGTCAGATCCTGTCCACTTGGGATCACAGCTGCAAACTCCAGTGTCCAGAAGAAAAGTTCCGTGTCCTGAGCACTGCTCTTGACATATAGGAAGTGGAGTTTCACAGTTGACTCCTCCCCAGCCAGTAGAACAATGACATTCTCCTTTGACACAGATGCCATGGCTGGAACACATTGGGTCTAAGCAATCCTCTGAAAACAAAAACAAAACAAAACAAAGATGGGGGTGAGTGGGAAGGTTGATAGAGAACAGGTGTGAGATAATGGAACCGAGATACATCAATTTCCTAGTATTTTATCATTAATGTTGCTTTAATTAGGCAATAAAATGACTCATGTAAACATTGTGTTTAAACTAGAAGATTATTAACACTTAAAAATATGGTAGGGTTTGATAAAGGTTGCAACCCAAATTTGGAAGAAGAAAATCACACATATGCTGCATGCAATTCTGAACAGTATGTGATACCCCCTACACAAATGAGTGGGTGGACCTGTATGGACCCTCAGTAGGAATTTCTCAGCTTCTGAAAAATGCTTGAGTTTTTTTAGTAAGCCATTCTTTATCACTTCTCAAATTAGGACAAAAGTTTTACTTAACATGTCTAGGAGATTTTTTTTATTGGATTATAATTTGGATGACAAGCTATTTGTTGAAGTGACTGCTACAATAGGAAATTATAAAATTTATAGAAATTTGTTATAACCACACATTTTTGTCTTCAGCACACAAATGCAGCATTTTTAACTGAATTTCATAATTTGTGTCTTTTTGTCCACTTTTTTTTTTAAATCAGGACACTGTGACATCACCTTAGAATAGATGTAATTCTATTTGTCTCTGATTTTGTGAGTCTAGAAATGTTGCCTTGTATAAAACTGTTTTGCACTTTTCCGTGACTATTCTATGTGATAAGAGAAGGTTGACTTCTAAGTTCTTTATTTTTCTATACAAATAAGACTATAACTCTTTGTCCTAATGTTAATTATGCTTTGAAATATTTTTGCAGCAATGGGAATACATTGATACAACTTTCATGAACTTGCAAGTCTAACTTTTTGGGTGTAGATTGTTACCACAAATGTATACCATTAACACTGTTATAGCTATCATAATTATCCAAAGATCTGAGGGTCAATAAAGCAATGTTCTAATAATTAAACTAATCACCAAATAAAATATCCAAATATGTATCTAATTTGATTCATGATGTGACATAAAGTTAAAGTTCAAGATCAGACTATTTTTAGAAGGACTCTACTTAGTTCTGGCAAAATACAATAACAATAATAAACAAAATATCATTACTTTATTCTGATTTCTTTTCTTAAGAGATTTGTTACATTCAATTCATGTGTCTTATGTCTAGTCTCTTTTCTCTCCCAGAAACCATGCCACAACCTTTGCAGCTGAAAGTTAGAACTTGCAGACCTTGGCCAAGGTAGGGGAGGAAACAAACCCAGCTCCTCCCCTAGTTTTTAGATCTACCTAGTTAATACCTGCTTTCTCCACGTTTCTTGTCACACATGCTAGGCTCAACTAAATTTTGTGGTGTAGAACTGCCTGCTAAACTCTGGAAAGCTTTAAAAGTCAGAATTGTTTTTCAGAAGATTCCTACAAAGGCTTCATCTGTTTGTAGGAACCCCCACCACAGTGGTGTACGTAATAGCTATGTTTCATACTTTCTCATTTCAAGCTATCCCTCTAAGGTTCTCATAAAGTTCTTTCCCACGTAAGGCCCAGGCATGGCTTTCTCTGTCCCCTGATAAAGCTCATTCTGAAGTATAATTGTTTCAAGCTTCTTTCTTCATGGGTAGAAATTCTTGCTATAAAGTTGTTTACGTCATAAATGCCATAGTTAGAGGGATGAAATTATGGCCCTGGAGAAGGCAGGTGTGGAGGAAAGGGGTGTTTGTAAGGACATTGCTGATTGGGAGCAAACTGTGAAACCATGTATTCTGTTTAAAAGGAACTGCTGCCACTTAGCTCCAAATGATATGGTTCTAGTCTCCATACATTCCAGTATTCATGGGAAGCTAGAAATAGGGGTCTGCAATGTGATCCATCTCTATTTTGAAAATTTGTCAACTAAATCAGTCAATAAAAACAATGAAAATACTATGTCTGCAAACAAAATCTATCTATAGCCTGATTCAACTTATAGATTCTTCATAGTGATGTAAGAATGAATGAAAATATTTTTCTTTTGTAACTGTAAAGTTTATACTGTTAAATATGGTGAATATTCTGTGTTATTTTGGCTGTTTTACATATTTGCTAAGAGAACAAGTAAAAGGCTCTTTTAAGCTTAATTAATTTTTCAGCTGCTTATGAAATTCAAATCAGAATAGCCTAATGAATTAGGTCACATGATTTCCAAGGAAAATTGTAGATGTGGTAGATATCACTTATTGGTAACTGTGTCTGGATCTATACAGCATCTAAATTTATACATACATATAATGATAGTTTGGTCACCATTTTAAAAGAAAGTATTTCAGATGTCTTAGGAATTCCAGTGCCTTGTACAGGTCCAATGGAATTTACCAGAATAAACAAAGTCTTTATACCCATATTCTACTGCCACTTATGGGAGGTGGACAGCTAAAGTCTTGCTTGTTTATGGAGTAGAATGAGATTAAACCCTTTAGAATGCTGTGTAATAGTCTTAATGAGCGATCTTTAAAAAGCAATTACAGTACATTTTTCAGCATCCGCTTTCCTCTGCAACAGTTGTGATGAAACCGTCTCCCATGGTAATAGTTTAATATTATTTCTGAAATCAGTCTTATTTGAGGAATGTAACATGAAAATGGTCTGATTACTAGCAAACATATTTTCCAATATGTCTGTTTAAGTGATAAAACTATAGGCATTTCAAAATATTTTTTCTAAAGGCTCCTCTGGGGTGAATTTAATACAAAGTCTCTGCTTTGAAATCATTAGTGGTAAGCCTTATTTTTTTTTAGGCATGGAGGTCAAGCTTCAGCATGAGGAATATAAGGATAAATAAATGATATAAAGCAATAATAATAGTAGTAGTAATTGCAAACCACTCCAAAAGAAAATGTTTGCAAGATGGCTTCAAATGTGTCTACATCATTACTTTTATTGCATTCTTTAAATGCAATGTTTCATTATGCCATATAATACACTCTGTAATAATGAAAACATATGAATTAACACCTAAAATGACAAATATGAAAATTCTCATGTTATAAAAGAAAGAGTATTAGAAAAGATGTCACTTCTGCATTACCACTTTGAAGGTGCCATAGAAACAGTCTCATGTTGTCTGCAAGATATCCAGAAGGGTCATGCACTACCCTGTGCTCAAACTTTTGTTGTGTGTACCAAAGGCATGTCGAACATCTACTGCATTTGCAAAGATTGCTTGTATAACTACTAGTATTATAAAACTTGGACAAACCAGTGAGAGAAAAGCCTGGAGCAATATATTGAAATAAGGCTCTGACCTTCCTCACATATTTCTCCTTTGTATCCCGGAACACAAATGCAAACTCCCATGATGCAGGTGCCATGGCCAAAGCACGTTGGGTCAATGCATTGTTCTTCTGGAACATCACACTCAGGTCCTTTCCAGCCATTCCTGCAGACACAGTGGCCTTTCTCATACTCTCCATTTCCGCCACAGAGCACTGGGCATGAATCTAAAGGTTGACAAATAAACTTGTAATGTTTTTATAATGTTGTCAAAAATCTCACAAGAATAATTCAGTATTGGTTGTAATATATCATTTCTGGCAAAAGTAATATTTTCATCTTACTCTTTATTAAATAAGCTTATGATTATGATTACAGACAATTTTCCTCCTATAGAAGTGGAAGGAAGATACATTATGAAGATTTCTGAAATGGGGAATAAATAGCTGGTTTTACTGTTGTCACAATTTAAAACTATTATCACTGTTACTATTTTAAACTAAGGGTTTTGTCTCTTACACGGCTTTTATTTCCTCAAATACACACACACACACACACACACACACATCTTCAGAAGCAAAGTGTGTATTAAAAACTAATAAATAGGGTGTTGTTCATATGAAAAAGGTCTTGTAAAGGCTGTACAAATAAATTCCTAACAGACATCCCCTTCAACATACATACTTTTATTAGAGTATCTATTCTATTTTGTTACTTTGTGTGTTCATTTTAAATCCATGAGGTTTTTGTGGGGAGTGCTTACATATTCTGTTTTTCTTATATGTCTTTTAAAATACAAAACTATTCTCCTCCATTTCAGAAGATCTGTTAATGTACAGGGAACCTAGCAACTGCTTTAGAATTCTCTATTTGAATGGAATTTAATCAAAATGAACAAGTTTTTTTTTTTCTTCTAAGAAGCCCAAGATTAACCAAACAGACCAGAAACTTGAAGACTACATTGAAAACAAAAAGGAAGCATCTGCAAAAAAATAACTCCAATTCTAGAGGAAAGAACGGTATAATTTTTCTAAAACTTTTCAAGAATTAATTACACTTAGTGTGAGCACATGAAACAATATAGATTGCTGAGTTTAACTTTTGAATTTCCATTTCCTACTTTCTAAACCACATATTTATATAGTGATTCGCCACTACTTCCAGTTATGAAGATATTTTCAAATACTAATTTTTCCTTTTGAACTCAGACTGTTATGAATTACTTTATATAAGAAATATAAGCAGTATGTCATAGTTGACTCGGGGGATCTAGGTTCAAATCTCAGGCAGTTCTTAATCTTAGCTATATCCTTGATTATTTCTTCTGAGGTTCTTTTTTTTTTTTTTTGCCAATATAATGTGACTAGTAGCAGACCTACTTCATAAGAATATTGTAGGAAAGAGGAATTAAAGAGGGAAGGGGAAAAGAGGAGGTGGAGAGGAGAACATGAGGGAGCAGGAAGATTGAGTTAGGGAAAGAATAGAGAAGAACAACAAAAGATACCATAATAGAGAGAGCTATTATAGGTTTAAAGGTAAATCTCACACTACCGAAATGTTCAGAGTCATACAGGGATAATCAACCTAACAATCTAAGCAATAGTAGACCTTCCCTGATAATGAGATTGATGACTACCCTATATGCCATCCTAGAGCCCTCATCCAGTAGCTGATGGAAGCAGAAGCAAGCACCCACAGCTGAACACTGAGCCAAACTCTTGGAATCCAGTTGCAGAGAGGGAGAAGTGATGAGCAAAAGGGTCAAGAACAGGCTGGAGAAGCCCACACAAACAGCTGACCTGAACAAGGGGGGAGATTATGGAGCCCAGACTGATAGCTGGAACCAGCTTAGGAATGACCCAGATCCCCTGAACATGGGTCTCAGGAGGCCTACACAGCCTAAGGGACCTATGACAATGGAACCAGGATGTATCCCTAGTGCACAAAAGGACTTTGGTAGACCATTCCCCATGGAGGGATACTCCCTTAACCTAGAGGCAGGAGGAAAGGCCTAGTCCCTACTCCAACGATTTGAAAGACTTTGTTGACCCCTCCTGGAAGGCATCACCCTCCCTGGGGAGTTGATGGGGGATGGGATGGGATGGTCAGTGGGGCACATGGTAGGATGGAAGGGAGAGGAAACTGGGATTGATATGTAAACTGAGAAAAATATTAAATAATTAAAAAACTTAAGAAAAGATGCAATGAGGAGTGTTTAGAAAACAGATGGGATATTAAATGCTCAGATGTTGGTGACAATTATCAGACAACCCCGCCAGAGTTGTTGCTGCTATGACTATTGTTACTATCGCTATTGAGTTTTTTAATGACAATTCTCTAAACAGTGCTTCTCAACTTATGGATCATGACCCCATGGAGGTAATATCAGATAGTCTGCATATCAGATATTTACATTGCAATTCATAATAGTAGCAAAATTATAGTTATGAAGTAGCAATGAAATAAATTTATAGTTGAGCATCATAACAAAATGAAGAATTTTATTAAAGGGTTGTAGCATTAGGAAGATTGAGAACTGCTGCTCGATAACAATCAGAATCATAACACAACATTACCTCTAGCACAGTCAGGTCCAAGGAATCCTGGAAAACAGTGGCAATGTCCAGAGATACACTCTCCATTTCCATTACAGTTGGTTGAGCAGTCATCCATTATTTCTATTAATACAAAAGAAGAGAAAAAAATGAACCTACATTTAGGCTAGAGATATAAAGTTTTAAAAGTTTCAGGAATTCTTTGCCTATAATAACCGTGACCTTTGGTGTCTGCAAAACACTTATTGCTCAAAATTAGATGGTGAAGACTTCTGCATGATGTCATACGCAGTAATTATTAAATATGTTTCTCAATTTGGTGAATTGACTTTTTAAGAGAAGAACAAAACCAGCTCATCTCTAAGTGCATAAAGGGTCTACATAACTTATATTCTTAAGAAGCATTCATGATAAAGCTAAAATGGTATGATAATTAGAAGACATTTCTCAAAAGCAAAACAGATTCTAAAATGCAACCCATAAGACAAAGTCTATTGTACTTTTTACACTTATATTGTAGCAAATAAAGTTTCTTCTCTAGCAATATGGACTATTTAATATACTATACTATCTTGACAGGTTAAATATGATAATCAGTAGTTCATTTTCATTAATAAGTGACAATGGCATACTTTTAAAGTAAGTGTTCATATCAAATTCACTACCACTAAAAGCATTTGAACCTAAGTATTTTGTTGAGAAACGCCTTCTTGAGTGTAAATGCTTATCAGTTCCCCGCCACTATTTTTTTCAATCCATTATTATAAAATAGTTTCCAAGGGGATTGAGAAGTCTTTGAAGGTACCCATAAAATTGTACAGAAAATAAACACAATAAATTTGTATAAATTCTCTGAAGAAGACACTGGTTTACAAATGTCAGTCTTTGAAGGTAAATTTGATATTTTATAGTTTAAAATTTTATTTGAGTGTAATAATGATTAACTCACAGATCTATAAAGGATCATGTTTTCAATGTGTCATTCTTGCTTGTGTGGTATATGTACTTGTTATATTCATTTTTTTCTTTCTTTTAGAAATTAACATTGTGTAGGTAGGGAGGGGAGAGGATCTGGAAGGATTTGGGGGAAGAAAAGAACATGATTAAAATATATTTAAAGTTAAAAATTATTTTAAATCATAAAAATATAAACATTTCACACTTAGCCATATTGACTGCAGAGTCTTTTTTCTTTGCTTTCCTTCCTTCCTTCATTCCTTCCTTCCCACCTTCTTTACTTCTTTTTAAATTCCTACCAATTAAAATCATGTCACTGACTTTTCCATTTTAATTTACAAAATCCTCCTTTATTTGGAAAAATATTTCTAATACAAAAGAGAGATTCTAAAAAGTGGTCCTAGTATCTTTGCTTGAATGATAATAAGTAATTAAAGCAAAGACATTGCATTTGTATAACTGTAGCCTATTGAGTACCTTACATCAGTAGAATTACTGTGTGGCACCTATAAGACAGATTCTTGGACTTTAGTTCTGAATCTGGTCTAAGGGATCTTGACAGCAATCTGTAATCTACCAAGCACCCTAAATGAATCTGTAGGTATTCCCACATTAAAGAATTGAGAGCAATATACTTAATTAGTTTACTATGTAGTTAGGGAGCCTGTGGCTGATGTGTTCAAGCTGTACCCTGGGCATAATAAAGACAAGAAAATGAAAATGGTAGGAGACCATTTTAGACAATCTTTAAAAGAGATTAGAATGTATTCAGAGGCTGCATGGATTATGAACGATACAATCTCTTATTTGTTCATGAAATATTTAAGCCCCCTGTCACTGTCAGTAAGACAAGATATAAAAATATAAAAAATGTGTATGCATTGGGGTGTATGGATTATGTACTTTTGATTATTAGGGGGACCTTATTTGAACTTCATTTTTTTGTTATTTTATCGATTTTATTTTACATATGAATGGTTTACCTGCATGTATGTACATGCATCATGTGTGTGCTTCGTGTCTTTGGAGGCCAAGAGAGGGCATATCCTTGAACTGGAGTTGTGCCTGGTTCTGAACCACCATGTGGGCGATGGGAATTGAACCCAATTCCTCTGTAAGAGTAACAAGTGCTTCTAACCCTGAACCATCTCTCTAGCCCCCTTGAACTTTCTTTAATGGAACATTGAGGGAAATGTATTTGGTGCTTCTAATATTAAACAAATATAAAAGTAATGTAAGGATTTAGGTATTACGCTGGCCTGCCCCTGTCACCTGGCAGAATGCACTCAGGTAGTACTCTGGTCAGCCCAGTGTTCCATGAGTACTAGTCTGCAGGCAGGTGTAAAGGACCCTTTAGAAGTCAGACTCCTGCCCCTGAAGATCTCTCTCTCTCTCTCTCTCTCTCTCTCTCCCCCCCCCTCTCTCTCTCTCTCTCCCTCCCTCCCTCTCCCTCCCTCCCTCCCCCTCCCCCTCCCCCTCTCCCTCTCCCTGTCCCCTTCCCCCTCTCCCTCTCCCTCCCTCCCTCTCCCTCTCCCTCTCCCTCTCCCTGTCCCCCTCCCCCTCTCCCTCTCCCTCCCTCTCCCTCTCCCTCTCCCTCCCTTTCCCTCTCCCTCTCCCTCTCCCTCCCTCCCTCCCTCCCTCCCTCCCTCCCTCTCTCTCTCTCTCTCTCTCTCTCGCTCTCGCTCTCACTCTCGCTCTCTCTCTCGCTCCCCTCTTCTGTTCCTGGTGCTTCTATGTCTTTTCCCTTCTCCTTCACTCCCCTTTCTAAATAAAATCCTCATTCAAGCTCTATCTGCCTGGCGTATTATTCCCTCCCCTTTGGTCATCCTCACTTGCTATGTAACCTGCTATGTTCTCCCAAACTCTGAACCCCCCTCACTCGGGACTCCCACGTGGGACCACCCCACTTTCTCCAGGTTTTCTTTAACTGTAATAACAGAACAACAAGTAAAGATACCCACTGGCATGTGCAAAAGGCAAATACACTCTTTCACATGAAACCGATGGCGTGATAACTGGATGATAGGAATATAACTGAAAGGTGAAACTCCTTTGGGGATGAAATAAGGTAAAGCTAAAAAGTCACAAACATGGTTCTGCGTGTACTAGTTTAATAAATTGGTTAGTATTTATAAATTGATATCAGGGGTTAAATTAAAAGAAAGAGGAAATATTCACAAATATTTTATATCTTTTAAGTTTTCCAAATCAGTCTGTCATAATTTAATGGCAATCATATCAACAAAATTGTGTTCTTATTTTTTTCATTGCAGTGAATTCTAAGGATATTTATTACTCTTAGTGACAAAATACTGATGTTACTGAAAATGTAACATTTTCCCAAGCTAACAAAAATATTATGTATTTTGAAGATGTAAGATCAATGGAGTTTGTCCCAGTATGATTTTTATTGCTTTTCTAATTACTTTATAGGAAAAACTTTAATAATCTTATGGTTAGAATACTGTTTTCTACTCTCTCAAGGTCTTCAGCATCGAGTAAAAATAGAACCTAATTGTTATCAAGAGCAGATGGTCTATCTATTAACAGTCAACACATCTTCCTAAACATATGGCTGAACAGGTTAACTAAAGGATAAAATGGTTGAGAGTTTTATAGAGAACTGACAGCTGTAAAAGATTTTCCCTTCTTTTAAAAAGACATGTGTTTTAGGAAAATTCAAACAATCTGATGCTCTGTCTACAAGTTGTTTACCCTGAGGACTCCCAAATTGCTAAAGAGCCTTGCTTTCTTCACACAAAGGGTCAGGGGAGTACTTTTACTGAGAAAACATGACAAAAGACTGAGATGTGGCAGACTAATGAGGGTGATGGTGCATAAGAGTATATTTAGGCTTTGTTTTTAGAAAGAACACACATTAAAAGGCCATGGACACACTTAAATAGCCATTTGATTACCCGACCCAAAGATATCTGAAGAAAGGGTTTGGAAGGTCTCAAGTTATTGTTCTCAGGATTCTTTAAGTAGTTTTAATTTGTATTTTGAAGTCTTAGTGGTTCTAGAATCAATTGTTCTAAAGAAATGTATTGACGCCAGTCTTTCTATTTTAAGAGGTATTTATTTGTTGTTATTTTATATTCAAACCAATTAACAGAGTCGTTATTTCCTATCTCCTTTTGTCTCACTGTGGATAGAATCTTGGGAATCATACATGTTAGATAATTGCTGTCAACAAACTACAACCCTAACATATTTTCTATTTTAAGATAGAGACCCACTGGTTTGCCAAGATTGGTTTTGAACTCTCTTTTTAAAAAGTTCATGTTGACCCTAAACTCACAAACCTATATGTATGATGTCACTGGATCAGGCTTAGCTTAACAGGGATACATAAGCTTTCTCTCTGAAGTGCTTCATATATATAGTTTTTTTTAAAGCTAAGAACATATAAAGAGTTGCATGACAAGTGTCTTAGGATATGAGCAAATACTGAAGAGCTTTAAAAAGTCTTAACCAATATTTTAACAACAAGAACAAAAAGAAAATGCAACTCATAGTGACAGTGACTTAAAATTTTAGTAATTCATTTTACCAAACCCCAGTTCCCCTTCCCTCCCCTCATCCTGCTTACCCCCTCTTCCTTCCCACAACCCCCATCCACTCCTCAGAAAGGGTCAGGCCTCCCATGGTGAGTCAACAAAGCCTGGCATTTTCCATTGAGGCAGGGACCAAGCTCCCTACCCCCTGCAGGGAGGCTGAATGAGGCATCACCATAGGGAATGGGCTCCAAAAAGCCAGATCATGCACCAGGGCAGATCCTGGTCCCACAATCAGGGGCCCCAAAACAAACCAAGTCACAAAACTGTCACCCATATGCAGAGGGCCTAGTTAGGTCCCAAGCAGGCTCTTTAGCTGTAGGTCTAAAGTCTCTGAACTCCCAAGAGGTGGGGTCAGCCAAAACCTGGTGCTAGGGACATTCCCAGGAATTCACAAAGAGGAACCTAGATAATACTCCTGGCAATATCATAGAGAGTGCCTGAAATGGCCTTCTCCTGTATTCAGATTGGTGACCAGCTTGTCATAATAGAACTTTCATTTAGTAACAGAGCGAATAGTGACTGTAAGGTAGAAGAAAGAGTATGTCTGAGTAATAAAATACTTTTGCTACCAGTATCTTTCTATTGGTATACTATGAATGCAAATAACAACTAAGGCAGCTTACCAATTGCTGTAGTTAGCACAAACACTTGCTCCATCTTTTTTCCATCATTGTAAAATGCCAAATACCAAGGTCCTTGGTCCATATATTCTATGAAGCCTGTCTCCTGCAGAGATGTTAAGATCAGGTTTCTTGGAGAGTGCTGGATATCATCAGAGCTCTTAGAGTCCTGCTTTACCAGTTGTTTGCCATCCATTAATTTCACAAAGTCGAACTGGAATAAACACAAATATGAGCTTGAGCATTTTTTTATTACTGCTAGACATATAACCATCTTTAACTCTCACTGAGCTATTCAATGTATATTCCTTTGCTATGATAGTTAATAATTCTTAAGCATATTTTAAATCAAATTGTTTTACTACACTTACATTTTTAAAAATTTCTCAGTTAGAGACTGTTGAAAATAAAAATTGTTTAAAAGAAAACCTTTAAGAGATAGAAACAATTTTAAGTATTATGTATAAGATCATGACATTTTACCAAAGTATCTCTCTCAGAAAAGATACTTGCCAGCATATTCTGCTCAGAAATGTGACCTTGTCAACACATTTAAAAGTTTTTACAGTTTTTAAAACAAAAAATAAAAAAGATAAATGACTATATTTATCACAATTTACTGCCTTAGTGGGTATATATTTAAATATTCAAAGGCCACTCTTTCTCCTAATCATTTGGTGAACACACTGTTATATACTTTCCTATGTTTTGGTGATTCATATTTGAATGGCATTTTAACAATTCTTGACTTGGCTAGAAGATAAAGTTTTTGATGCTAGTCATCACTGTTGGGGGAATTATGGAGTGAGGAATTGGTTCTCTTACACTACATCTTAATGAATTAATGCAGAAAAATAAGCTTAATAAAAACATGAGACATATGGTATCTAAAGTTTATGAATGGGCCATGGAAACTGCAGAGGTTTTACTTATTTGAATTCTTATAAATGATTTCTTATAGAAAAACTCTGTATGTAAGATATAGTCTGTTTTTCTTAAAAATAGTGTGCAACTACGTTCTGGTTGATTGCATTCTGTGTTTGGAATAATGGTAAAAGGGTAGACAAAACCAGTGAGAAAGGTATTGACTCTAGAGCTAAGTCAGATCAGAGGGCTGTGACACAATGACTTTTTCCTAGAAATGTGGAGATCAAGTTTAAAAAATGTTTTTTCAACTATCTCTTCTGAATATGTTCTGCAAATGCTATTCTTTATTTCTACATGCTTTTATTTAATGTTTTTATTAAAGTATGATTAGTCTTGATATTTCTTTGTTACAAAGATTTTTTGCCTTCATATTTGACTCCTACAGTATTCACAAATCACAACATTTGAACTGCTTGATATAGTGCCCTCTAAAAAGATTTAAGAAAATACCTATTATATAAAATACCTGAGTGTGTGTAGGTGGAATGTTTCTTCTGCCATAAATTCCCAGAAGAGAGTCCTTGGCTAAAGAAATATTGAATTTCAGATATATAGGATGGTGGATAGTAATCTGGAAACGCCAGAATAAGCCCGGTGGAATAGTCTGCATGACCTGTGCTCCGATGTCAACTTCTCCAGTATCAATTGCTCGTCCCTTCTGAAACACTGGTTTTTAAAAAGAGAGAATTATACATACTTTTAATAATAATTTATAAAGCAATGTTTTTCATCTTTTCAAGAACAGATGAATCAAAACAATTTAATCAGGTTTTCTTCTTCCTTGTATCTTTCAAGTTCTTGCTCAGATTAAATATCTTCTAAGGAGCCTGTTCTGGCCAACACTTTTTTTATATATATATTTTTCTTATTTTACATATTGATCCCAGTTTACTTTCCCTCCCCCTATCCCTCCTTCTCTCCAACATTGCCACTGGCTATCCTTTATACCAATTTCTCTGTTACTTAACACAATTACTTTTAAGTATTTACTGGACATTATCTTGATAACCGCAGGAGTTGCAATGATGAGTAAGATGTAGTTCTTCCTCTCAGAGTTTTTGAAAATCAGTGAGGAAATGGGACAAGTATAAAAGCAACTACATTTTAAAGAAAACTAAGCACTATGAGTATTCAAAGGAAGGAAAACTACTTGGTTTAAGGGATACTTTTTATCCCTATTTTCATACTCTTTATTGTCTTTTATTTTCTCATAGTAATACATTCTAACACATTGTATATTTTATTTATGTGTTATGCATTACTTATTTTCCCAGACATAGGGTAAGCATTTTGAGTCAAGCGCTATGGCTGCATTGTCCATTGCTTTATCCTCAGTTATAGAAAATATATGTGAATGTACGCATAGATTATACACACACACAAATATATGTATATATATATACATATGTATATATATGATTGATCAGTGTATAATTATTTAGTGAATGGGTGGATGGATGAGTCATAAAAAGGTAATTATGAGATATAACATTGAACATAAGTCTTAGAAGTAGCAGATGGCAAACATAGCTGTGGCAAAGATATTAGAACATGGAAAGGGAAGCTTGCAGTAAAACACAGTGCTATAAAATTGTCATCTTAAGGTTGTAGAATATGCACATATAAAGAAGAATTCTAAGTAGAGTTGGATAGAAATAATGACTTTTTTATATTTTCTTGGGAGATAGTCAAAGGAATTTGATTATTAAAGCTAACGTAGAACAGTAAGAATATCTGAAAACATTCGAAGGATTCATATTATTAACTATTTATCTAAAGAAAACCTACCATATATGTAATTCTTTGTATAAATGTGCATATATATTTAGAATCAAATTTCTTATTTGAGCTAACAATATTCTCCACAAGTACAAAAGACAATCTAACAAAAGCCCCAGTTCCAAGCATGTGAAGCTCTCTTTTGAGTTGTTGGTTGGGGTTGTTCAAGAAACTCTCAAAACACACAGCTTGTTGCTACTTCCCTTAGTTGCCACCCATAGGTGGAACTTAAATCCCTATTGTAAAGACAACATGCAACTTGGACATAGAGCTCAAAAACCCCTGGGCTGGAATTGAACTGAATGCCTGCCCCTGAGGACTAGCTTCCATGAAACCATAAGATGTCATGCAAACTTCCAAAGGGGTGGCAACCAGCAGTTCTATGCAGCTATGACAACTATCAACCACAACAATAACCTGCATGGCACAGTAGCCCTAAATGTGCAGTAGTGGCATACATATCTTGTCAGTAACCAATAGGCCTTAAGACCTCTTCAACAAGTGGGACACCATATCTGGTACTGAAATTCTAGCTAACTACCCTGGTGATGTCATGGATCATTGAGGAGTCCTAAAATCACCACTTAATTAAACCAGCATAATCCCTAACTACATCATAAATGGAAAAGTGTAGCCCTAACTTCTCATCATGGAAACTTCTCTTTATAACAGGCAGAGGCCATTACAGTAAACTACAACTATTCAAAAATGCAGAGTTGTAGAGATACATCCACAACACACACCTAAGGCACAAGGAACACTGTAGAAAAGGGTACAGAATTATTCAAAAAGTCAGAGGACCAGGGAGTTTGCTGTGAGATTGTATTGCTTAGTAATGTCAGAATCTTCACCAAAATGACTGCATAAACATGAGATGAACAAGGTTTTCCAACAGTGGACATGGCAATCATGTATATGGGAGAGAGCCTATGAGGTCTCAATCTACTCCACAAACAAACAAACAAATAAATAAAACTATAGGCTATTAAGGAATGCAAAGAGGGAGAAAAATATTCTTCTCCAAGGAAGAGCATACTAATTGATTATCTTTTACCAAATGGTTAGCCCTGAAAACATACATACAAGTAAGATTAAACAGATTTAGCCAAGTGTGAGTGAGTGTGTGTGTGTGTGTGTGTGTGTGTACAAATAAGAATGTATGTAATAACAATTAACGGAAAAGAGGCCATGAACCTGAATCAGAGCTAGGAGGGAATATATGGGAGGGTCTGGAGGGAAGAAAGGCGAGAAATAAAGGATTAAATTATACTATAATGTTAAAAAAATAGTATGATATATTTTAATAATGTTTAATAATTCATATGTGAACACATTTTATTTTGATCATGTTTACTCCTTACCTTTCCCTTAACTCCTTCTACTAAGTCCCTATTTTTGTGCCACATGTAAATTGTTGTGGGTCTATTATCAGAGTGTGGTTACCCTACCAGGGATTATACCATTAAAGATAACTGACTCACCCTACTCCAGAAGCCATTAACCATTACTAACTCCTCAGGTAGAGGTGTGTGAGCCTCTCCCTGCCCACACTGGAAAGACTAGCTGACCTTGTAAAGTTTTTGAGCAAATAATCACAGCTGCTCTGAGTTCATGAGTACCTACATTCTCCATGTCCATATGAACACTGTTTCACCACTGGCATCCCCAAATCTGGTTCTTATACTCTTCCTGCCCTCTCTTCCATGATGTTTCTTGAGTCTTTTGGGGGGAAGAGTATGATACCTATAGAGGAACACTCCACATGTATTTGTTCTTTGCATTTTTACCAGCTGTGAATTTCTGTGCTAACTATTGTCCACTGTACAAACATGCCTCTCAGATGAGACCTGAGAGTGACAGTTGCAATAATCTTAGGTGTTGAGATATATATTTAAATAGATTTTTTTTATACTATGTCCATTTAGGAAAAGAATTTGTATTAGGTTTACTCATGAGATCTGTGAACTCATCAGCGTTTTGCTCTTCATCATGTTACAGTACCAGGCATGACTTTTCTCTTTTGGAGTAGGCCTTAAGTGAAATCAGAAAGCAGTTATTATGTCAGTGAATTCATGCCACTTTTGTTCCCATAAATACATATGGTATTCAGATGGTAAGTATTGTAGGTCACAAGATTGAAAGTTGGGTAAGATAGTTGATTATTTTTTCTCCTAGTACACTATATATCACCTTCTGATACAATTAAAAATAGTGAGTAATATTCCAAGTCAGTACCAGCATGATTTCTCTGCATCTTAGGAGAAAAATTTTGTGGTTGCTTTAGCAATAAGGTCTTACCATCAAGTTTTGGTGAACAACTACAAGCAATAGCAATATCCTGTATTACTTTGGGGGTCTCCTGGTTAGCTCTGACCAATAACTGGAAGGGGAATATCCCGTTTCTTGTACTGGAAGTTTTATTTGGTAACATGTGTCTTTTGAAAGGATCACTAGTTTCTGTGTAGGTTGCCAATTTAAATGTCAATTTATTAAATGACAATTTAAGTTTTTCACACATATAATTACAATTTTTAACAGAGGGAAAGGCTAGGGTATAGCTCAGAAGTATATAGTAATTTCCCCTAGTGCACAAACTCCAGCAAAGATGCACCCATTGCACTAACTGGAAAAAAATGGGTGTATTAGATATTCTAATCTTGAGGTGAAACATAGGAAGGAATTAGAGGGACACACAAGAAAAAAAACATGAGGAGTACAGATTATTGATTCAGGTGAAATGACACAAATACTTGAATTTAGAGAAAGCAAAAATAACTTCTGTAGAAAGTGTACATTTCAATGAAAAGTAAGTTAGTATAGATGGAAGGTAGGAGAAAGATACGAGAACAATATAGAAGAAGATTCCAAAGCAGGGCTTGTCAAATTTTACTGTGACCAAGAAGTCTTCAAATAAAAGCATTGAATAGGTAGGTTTGAAATGAAATACTTTTACAGGATTCCAAGTGGTGCCTATGTTGCCTTGTTCACTTGTCAGTACCTGAGAAGTGATGGTAATAGTTGTGAAGATAAAGGGAACATTATATTTACACCACGATTGTAATTTTGAATAACTTAGATAGTACTAATAGCCAAATATATGAAACCCAGAAGTATGTGATCTATGAGGACAAATGATAAGTTTGCACAAGAATTATTGATGTGCTAGTTTAATGGATCTTTTCATGGAACACTGTGTCATGTGGTACAAAGGGAAAAATGGGAATTGGTTAGTTTCCATTTTAAGCAATAAGTATAGTACCTCAGGAGGGAAAATTGAATTTGGCCTCATTCATTCCATCCTTATATTTTTCAGCCATCAACTCTGTGTCCATATCAAACAGTTTAGAAACACACATGGTCCCTGTCCATTATGTTCACCTGACATAAAATCAGTAGCCCGTTAAGAAACACACCTGCAGTGACTTTATTCACAGGCCAATGCCTTGCAGCTTTTAACTCCCTAAAATACCTACATTATTTCTTTTTTGTGTTAAGGCCAAGAGTAATACCTATTTTAAGAATCTTCACTGTTAACTGTTAATAATAGATTTCAAATGCAATTTTGAACATAATTATGTAGTACAGGACACACAATTTTGTGAAATTGACATTTCTAATAAAACACACCCTTTGAGATAATAAATGACCAACAGAGTACCTTATTTTTCACTGAAAGTTACTTTTCTTCTATGTAAGACAGAACAATTTCGTTCCCAAGGGGTTGATTATAAATTTAACTCTTAAGGTTTTAGAATCAATAAATTTCTTCAATGGGTAGGAGATTAATAAACCATATTTATGTGGAAATTTTTGCTCTGAACTTAATATTCAGTTTATTCAATAGCTATCCTCATTAGAAGCATTTATCACTTCTTAAAATGTACCAT